ATATATATATATATATATATATATACACACACACACACTTGACGTGAACAACATGAGATTGAATAAATGAACAAATTTAATTTTTGGGTGAACTATCACTTTAAGTCATAAATAGCCTTAACCAACAAAAATCCATACAAATATAAAGAACATCCACAGAATTAGGACATTCCAGTCAGATTACATAAAACAGACAATTTGTACCAAAAAGAAAGCGGGGGAAAAAAAAGATTCTCATTACAAAAATAATAAATAAATCTTAGCATAAGCAAGAATTTGTAACATGGTTTTAACCCAACAGTTTATTATCTGTTGTGTAACTTAAACTGCTGAAATCATGACTTGTTCTGGACACATCTGAGCAGCCGAGGCCTGTGGAAGAGCAGCTCAGATGTGAACAGAGCTGACAGCACATTCTTAAGACCCTGTCTGATCCCTGCACAAGCCCTCATCCTCACACAGCACTACAGAACATGCTAACTGCAACCAAAAACAATGTTATTCACTGCATGTCGGGCTAATATACAGGAGTAGCCTATATGGAATTGGGCATGATGGTGATATGCGGAAGTGGGTGGTTGGAATGGCCTTTAATCGGTAGTATATTCAGGAGGTGCTGAGGGAGGGAAAGGGGCAGGAACTTCCTCAGGAACCTTAAGAATGCAGCTCCAGATGACCCAGAAACCAGGCAAGCTGCACAACTTCCTTCAACGTACGGTTAAAAGAACAACAGCTCCAGTGCTGCTGGAATAATAGACCACAACTATCTTAAAAGCAGAGTTAAAATACATTAATGTTAAAAAGTTTGGGGTCAGTGATGTTCTTTAAAAAAAAAAAGAAATTAATACTCTGCAAGGACACAGTAAATTGATACTGAAGATTGGAGTACTGGCTGCTCCAAGAATTCAGCCTTACTATCACAGGAGAAAATTACATTTTAAAATTGTATTAAGATAGAAAGCTTTTAATTCCATTTGTAAAAATATTAGTTTTTACTGTATTTTTGATCAAATAAATGCAGCCTTGGTCAACAAAAAAAATACTTATTTACAAAAACATTTAACAAATATTTCCGACCCAAAACTTTTGAATAGTAGTGTATAATCAGAAACAAAGTAATTACTCACGAATCCCTCTTTTACCTGGTTATAATCACACTCAATTACCCACACCCTGTGATGTGGAGTGCATACATGTTTCCACAAGAGCCGGTGATCAAGATAATCTGGTGCATTTCCAGAAAACCAATAAACAGCTGTGTTACAAATGCTTTTTGACAAAGAGTTCATTAGGAAATTTTAATTAGTTCCAGAAGGCAAACTGATGTTTACCATCTAGTGATTCTTCTTAAATGATAATAGCCAATAGGCAAGAGTTCATATACACATTTTTGAATAATACCCCTGATTCTAATGCTCCATGTTACCTCCACAGTTCTCAACAAACTCAGTCTGAAAAACATAGTGAACATTTTTTAAACAGCTTGATCAGCCTGTTTTCACAAGACTGTGGTAAAGCTGTGGTAAAGATTTAATCTATAACCACCAACTTTCTTAATCAATATGGCCTACTGTAATAACCTCAATCAAATGAAGAACCAGTTTACAATCACTTTCTACTGTCGACTTTGACCAGCTTCCACAAACAAGGGTGGGGACAGTCAACAGAACACACACGTCCAGAGTGCATCAGGTATGAAGCTATCAGAGTGCCAAGAGCATCTAAAAATCATGATGCCAATACCAAATAAATAGTGCTGTTTTTGTAAAACAAAACAAAAAAAACAGTTACCTGGCCACATTTAGCCTTTGAACAACACTAAAAAGGATTTCCAAAGTACATCCAGTCATCTCTACACTTAAAATAAACATTCAGATAATGTGTTAGCTGACTAAGAGCTGTGAGATGTTATGTTTCAGCACAGTGGGCAGAGTTGTGCTCGGGTGTTGTGCTCGTGCCATGTTTAGAGCAACGAGTCGAATGTCAGGAAGGTCTAACTGAGCAGACCATGATGCAATGTCTTGTAAGAGAGGCTGGACTGTCCATCCCATCACTGAGTGCAGTCAGATGTAAGGAGTGAGAGGAGGCTGCCTGCTTGTGCTTCCTATAGTGAACTCAGCTGTGCTTAAGGAAGCAATGGCTCTTTTTCTGGGCGGGTCAGTTTTACAAAGCTATGGGCGGCTTGCGGCTTAGTGTGTTTGGATACCAATTCAACACATCCAACATTTGGCACTGTAGGAT